TATTGTTCTTCTGAGGCATGTTGAGTACAGAGCATTAATTTAAGGTAGATTTATGAACAGATTTTTACAAGTGGGATTTCTTTAGCTCAAAATTGTTGATGTTTCAAAGGAACTAGGCAAGACTTGAAAAATACTTGCAATTCTTTCGCTTAGCCCTAGGGCCTGCAAAAACAGTTCTCTGGTATGCTTGAAAGCAATGGACCAACAAAGAGGTACACTAAGCAGTAAGTAATTATAGCTGCACAAACACTCCTCAACTTATATCCAAGATTTCTAGTTTTGCAACTGTGACAAAAATGTGTTACCCTCTGAAAATAATTAAGCACAGTCTGCAACTGGGATAGCAAAGATAGCAAACTGGGGTATCTTTCAACTCACCTAATAGCCAAAGTATTTCATTTATAGTATCAAAGTTTCCTGAAACTGAGAGCCATCAAAACCCCTGCATAGGCTACTCAAGTTTGATGGGATGCTCTGGGAGATCTAGAAACAACTTCAGGACCTCACTGGACAGGGCCAAAAGTAAAGGTAAAAATTTTGATGGTAGCTGCATCAGTGTAAAGCTTGATGAAGTTGACCTGAGGACATAATCTTATTCTAATGCTACCTAGAAGTGGGGGGGAGGGTCCAGATAGGTCCTAAATTTCAGTAATTATTACCAGGTTATCTTAAGATAAAGAGTACTAATGAATCAATTAGCTGGAGATTTTTGCAGGAATAAGGGCAGAAGTCTTGCCTTCTTTATGGAGCAAGATTTTATAGGCCGTAAAGAGAAGTAGACCTAGGAAGCAGGAAACCCCAGAAAGCCAGTATGCACTAGGTCTATCCATTTTGAAGATTAGTGTCATGGTGTAACTCATCCTGAAATCATCACCTCATTTGCACCCTTTTGGAGTGAGCTGCCAGGTAATGTTATCTTTATATGGGACAGTGCTATTGCACTTGCTGTTTACATCCCCACCCCTAAAGCAGGGGAGGAGCAAGGAGCTGGTGGAGGGAATTACCCTACTTGGATCCCTCCATGGTAACAAGATACTGGCTGCATTTCATTCTTGGGGAAACTACAGGAGAAAAAGATAGATCCAAAAACCTAACCAAAATCCCCCATAATATTGTGACAAAGAAACTAAGACAAACTCGGAAACTCAATCATAGGTGTGCTGAATCCTTAACAAGAATGAATCCTAATCCTTAACGAGAGTAAGTGATTTTACATATGATAGTACAAAAACTGTAAAATGTAAGAACAGCTGCTTCTGATGGAAGACAGTAGTCAAATTTGGTTATATGAACATAATGGAATGTAAAGTATTAGAAATACCATTTCTAAATTAATGATCTGTTGTAGTATACAAAGACAGATGTGGTGGTTTAACTAAAAAATAACCAGGTCTCACATTTTCAACAACTGTCTCCAACTAATTGTCACCATTCTTATACTTTTCCTGCTTGGGACAGAGAAGCTCCTCTAATCCCTGACAAACCAATTTCAATGAAAATTATAATGATTAATTCTAAATACTAAATCTTTGCTAACATAAATCAGTAATTTTAATTGATTATATGAACAACTGAGCTGGCAGATTTGAGTGGAGAGTTAGTGTGAGTGGTTGATAAGCTGCTGTGCATGATAAATTCTCCTCAGGTAGCACAACTGCAGCCTGGAGGACACATATAGACAATGTGTCACAGCATCTCTCGCACATTATACAAGCAAGAAAACTCACTTTTGAGTTACAACACACAGTTTATGAACACACTTCTGTGGGAGTTCAGCTGCAATGTCTCTCTGAGGTAAGTCTTAATCAGTAACAGCGACTTTAAAAAATTACCGATCATAAGAATGTACATAAATCTCTGCTATTGTCTGCTAAACTATAAGCCATTTTAAACTAGATATATCACTCGTAACTCTACAAACATTTAAAGCTTCCATGTATGTAGAAAACCTTGTTAGGAATCAAAAATTCAAGAGAATTTGTGGTCAGTAATACAACTCTCTCTGCTAAAATAAATAGTCAATAATTAAAGGAACAGAAGGACATGCCCCTGCACGAGAAGGAAAGTCACTTCATTCTGATCATCCCCCTCCTCTGAGCAAGAGATAAGGAATATGTTTTTCTTGACGTTCTCACAAAAAATAGTTTTACCCATGGTTTGAGCTACAAAGATTTGCCCATTGGAATAAAAAAAGTGCATTAAGAATATATACAATGTACTGGAAGCCATACACACCTTTACTCAGACTAAGGGGATAAGGCATTTACATTATTCTATAAAACTACTTTCTCATTTATTACTCATCTGGTCTGTACTCACTTTGTATCACAACATTACCACAGCATTATACAAACATAAAGCTCTACAACTGGAACACACGAACTATGAAGAAGTGCATCCAGCAGAAAAGCCCAAAATGACATGTGAGAATCTAACACAAAAAGGAGTCAACTAAAAATGTGTGCATAAAATGTGCCCATCAATAGGTTTACACAGTCAGCATCCCTCCTCTTCCTTCAACAGAAGGGAACAAACTACAGAAAGTTACTACTGAATTCAAACAACATGAAAAACCTATTAAAATACATTATGCTCTCTCTTCGAAACCACATTATCTTTTTCCTAGTCTAATGAAGAATATGGTACTGTAATTAAATAAAATTTCTAAAAACATCTCATGGAACTATTAATATATTCATTAAAAACCAAAAGCTGTTCCAGGAAAGCAAACGCTAGAACTAAATGCCACTGAACTTCTTTCCATTATACAATACAACCATGACCAATAGTCTTTAGAGATTTGCTATAGTAATTTATTAATTTATTAAGGTCTGATGCAAAACCTATTAAAGTCAGTAGAAAGACATGTTTTGAAAAGGCCTTGAATTACATACTTTTACTGTAAGATACAAATCTGGGAGTGCTGAGCCATACCAATCTGCTCAGAATTTTTATATCAGGAAACACTAATAAACTAAATTACCGTACAAAAAGACAGCAGTCTTCAATATATCTGATTTTTCAGTAGTAACAGAAGTAACATTTTCTGTTTTTCTGAATCATATTTTGAAGATGCTTTCTGGTACTTAACTGAAACAAATTTCTGTAGCTTGTATGTGCTATTCTGTTTGCCTGTCTGGTTACATTTATGGCACTTGCTGCTTTACTGTAAGAGCATCTTGTAAACCCTGGAGGAAGCAATGGAAATAATATCCCTAAACATCAGAAGCTTTTAAAAACTGTGTTTTTCTAATTACAGAACATTCAAATGTCTGTATACCACAAGTGAAACAGAAAGAGCGACTCCAGGAATGTGTATGCTAGTCCTTGGACACACAAAACATAGCATTAGGCTATATGATTCAAGGCCAATCACAGTGAACACACAGACTGAGTGAGGAGCAGAAGAACCCCAGTACGCTCATCAGCGAGAACTGGAGCACACTGAGAATCAGCTGCTCCTAAGATGACGAAGGAGAACGATTAGAGCAGTGTCCCTGTGTGAAACCCACTAAGATGAGTCAGGAAAAACAGCTCTCCCTTGCAAACTAAAGGGGTTATTGCCTAAAAGGGACTTACCAGATCTGGGGGGGAAAGCATTTTGGGATAGACAGATTTTCTTTGTAAATAGTGGGCTATGTGTCTTTTTAAGATGGTATCACATCTTCTGCCTCTCCTTTAGTATAAAGCCATTACAGTGCAGTAGCAAGGAATGCTCTGAGGCTTTGTAGAAAGAGTAATAGTAGCATGGACATAGTATAAACCAGGAGAGTGGGGGGTAGTATAAGATTCAGTCATCTGCCACAAGACATGGACTTCAAAGATAAAGAAAAAACTGGTTCAGACAGATATATTCCTGTTCTCCACAGATAGGTTCCTGTTCTCCACTAGTAAAGAAACTATTTTCCTTGAAATACGATTGTTTGAAATTTGGCTACAGCTAAATATTTAAAGGTCCTTTACAGTTTGATCCTGGACTTCAGCTTGATGGTTATGCAATGGTTTTCCTACTACCTACTACCACCCTTTCCCAATAAGCTTATAGTGGTTCTGAGTGTGTCTAAATACAGTGACTAGAAGTTGAAACTTGAAAACAAAAAGGATATGACACTTAAGCACACATTCACATGTGTACATTTAGATAGAAAACATATCTACAATACTATATTTAAACATTACACACTAAAGTTAAATAAAGTTAGGAATACACAGTCTGTCCCCTATAGCAATACATTAATTAAAAAGTGTCAATAAGAAAACAGATTTGTTGACTTTTTTTTTTTGAATACTGGAATTTTATGATCTCATCCAACTGAAATAGACAAATACAATGTCATTCTAGGTGAAAATGAGAGAAAAAAATCCATCTGCTGAATTATACGTTCAGGATAACTGTAAGAGTTTGGTTCGTTATTCTGAACTTCTGAAATTAATGCTTGTTTTCTTCAGTAAGCAACAGAAAATTTGTGGGCTAGCTGGAAGCTGATCTAAGGTTTCCTGGCTACTATCCAAAGTTAAACAAACAAAAAAAATTCTAAAAGAGTGAGTTGTACTAAAGTGTAAAAAATGATAAATGCCCAAATCAGTTTCTTTACCAACATCCTTCCAATAGCATTTACAATGTGCGAACAAAGTAGCAAAGCTTTGTCCTTCTTCAAAATGGCATGTGAGAATTGAGAGGCTTACCAAAAGCAGCTGAAATACTGAATTAGAAAAGTTGCTTAAAAAACAAACACAAGAAAAATAATAGTTCAGCCCCTGCCTTGCTGACAGGTGAGATAATAACCATTTCTGGTACTACAGAGAACTTGCAGATAGACTGGCATTTCAATGGAAGGAAAAACCACACCAGTCCATATGGTTCCCTTAAAACAAAAGCTTCTCGGGTTCATGACCAACATTTCAGTCAGCCTTTAAGTAAGAAAGAGCAACAACAAATCATACTGGGGATTTATTGACAGGTGTCAGGAACAATGGTGAGTGTTTTAGAAAAGACTATATAAAAATAAAGGAATTTTACTTGCAAAACACCTAACCTCCAAAGGCAGAGTTTTGTAATACAGTTTTAAAGCACTTTACTCAAAGATTAGGTTACCAGTTTTCTAGCAAAAGCTCAAAACCTCTAAACATGAATGCAAATAATCCATTATTAAATATATAGTTCTGGTTCATGGCCACTATTACAAATTGGGGGACTAACAGTGACTTCAAAAGACTCTGAATCAGACTTCAAGTGTATAATATTTTTCTTAATATTATGTATTTGCAAGACAGAAGTCTTCAGACAAGTCTTTACAGAGAAATCATAAAAGTAGGAAAGTGATTCACCCTGCTTGAAATGGTTGCATTTAATTTTTGCAGTTTAGATATTCAATCATTATCTACCACTTAATGTAAAATGTAAATTGGTATGTATCAGAAAAAATCCAGCATGGTTTCGTGGTATTTTTTTCTTCATATGTATACAGATTAGAGAGGCACATTCTTTGTTAGAAATCAGCATGAAATTCTGCTGTAGGAACTTGAACACTTCCTTTCACAGAAATTTTTCCATGAAACTATGCTCTTCATATTAGGCGGTCATATCTAGTTAAGCAAAACACTCAGTTTGCATAAAATTAGAGCTGCACCTACTTTAAGATGTATTTTCAAAATACATGTGTCATAAATGCCATTACAGAAAAATAAGCAAGATACTTCTTTTACAGCCTAGAGAAAGAAACTATTCGTTTTGACATTCTATTAAAATTTAGTAAGGGCACAAAAGGAATTTGTAACTGTTAGTCCAAAATGATCTAACTATTCTAGCAGTATGTACAGTGCAAAGAACTTCTTACAGTAACATCACAAAGTAACACCAGCTCTTTCAAAAGGACTCTAAAAATTGTTGCTCATTGCTTAGAATGGCATACATCCAATATATTCACAATTGGCAACAGTCTAGAGTATTACAATATTATCACTGCTACTGCAATGAAAAGAAATGAGGTTGTGATGATAAATTTTCATGTTAAGCTGTAGGAAAACTTCATTTTACTAAGTATATTATTTCTTAGCTTTGTCATAAGCTCCAGGAAAATGAACAACGGAGAAAAGTTTTTCTCCTACAGTAAAATACAGGTGGGTAGTAAAATAAAGTATGAAATTAGCTGGCTTTGGGTTAGTTGGTTAAAAACGTGTGCATCAGTTCAACCTGAGTCAAGCTGCCTTGGTTTGTACTAGCTATTTGCAAAGGCTGACTGAATGAGATTCCTTTCATCATACAGGCACTGCTACCTTTGCTGCAATAGTAGAGGCACGCTTTGACAGCCAGGATAGCTTCAGCTGACATATGGCTCCTGGGTAACTGAAAGGGAATGATAGTTTGACAGGAAACATCCTTTATTTCTCCAGACAGACACTGTCCTTGAAGCAACCAGATATTATCTGTAAAAGAAGAACAAGTTTTATCATTAGGATATTTAACACTATGTCTGAAACCTACAGAAAACACTAATTTTACCTATAGGACAACATGGACTTTCTTTCCATATGCAACATTAGGGGAAATTTCCTTCCTGATTTTTTCAGTCATGGACACAAAAAAAAAAAAAAAAAAAAGGAAAAGAAATTTACAAATGCTTCTTTAGCAGTCATTTAAAGGTTGAGAGATCCATAGCTTTGCTTCAGAACTATAGATATATACAGTACATCTTATTTAAATGCAATGGATCTGCAATTTGTCCTATAAGAGGATATTAAAATTTATTCTGAGATATGCAAGCAAAACTCCTTAAATTAACGGGCTGCTATACATTTGTATTAGAAGTCTAATACTCCAGGTAAAATATCTGCCATAAATGCATAAAACTGCAGGTAAATTATGGCATTTCCAAACAGAAGCGTTGGTTTTACAAGCACGTTACTGCAACTTAGCGATGTTGAGGTTGAGTGTTACAACAGAACTTGAGTTTCACATTTATTTAAATATTTAAGAGTATATGAACTGAAAAATGAACTGTACAATAAATGTACCTAGCTCATTGCATTGTATTCTGTATTTTACTGTAAGTGAGATGGATGAAGTGCTCTTTTTGGCATTTTTCAGAAAATACCTAAAAGTTGGCTCTAGAATTTATGAGCTTGAAATGACTTGTTGAGTTTAGGTTGCTTACATTCTCCAATTTTACTAACCCTCGAAGCTATCACATATATCTTTACTTCAACAATATTTGGAGTGTGACGACTCTCCTGGAAATAGTCTATCTGTACTTCAAAAGCACAAACTGGGATGAGAAACTACTTTAAATCATGAAGCATATAAACAAATTGCAGTGCCTGTACAGTATTTGTTGACTGCTTTTAAAAGCGATCGATTTAATTAAGTTACCACACGGACACTTTGAAAGCTGGCCAACAAAAGACGAGTCAAAAGATGGGATGTTTACTTTCAGATCAGTTTAACTGCATCTACAAGGAGGGATAACTATTAACAAGTATTTATCATTGTAAAAGCCAGTATGGCATGCAAATTCAGCCAGCGAACAATTACTAAAAATTAGTAGAATTTTAAAATCTAGCAGCATTTCTAAAAATAAATGTTTTTCAATGCAGTGCAACAACTAAATGAACATAACTGAAATAGAAATGTTCTCTCTATTGCTTTCAAAAAATCTACTGAAGGTGCAAATGATGCAATTTCAACGTCAAAAACTTGACACAGAAACTAAAGAAAATGATGCTCTAGGCTCTTCTTTTTTTTAAAACTGTTCAGCAACTCATTAAACAGCCAGTTAAGCTTTCCTCTGCTCTCTACTGCCTTAGTGGGTATCTTGTTCACTTCCTCCAAGAGGTAACAGTTCTCTGTACCATGCATGACTTACTTTAGGGTGCCTAGAGTCTGACAGAAAACGTGTTTATAAAGTTCAGAAATTTCTCACAGAGTCTGAATGCTAAGTGTCCTCCCTTCACCTTCAAGAACACTCGTTTATGGTTTTACTTAGGCACACAGCACCTACTGTAGGATACTTTTTAGAAGTATTGACATTCCAGTGAGATAAGAAATTTTCTCCTAGAGCATAAATGTATTAAACTTAAAGCAAAGAGTCACACCTGAGTAATTCAATAACCAGACAAAACTGTTTCAATACACAAAGAATTGTGAAAACAAATTGGGTTATTTTGTATATTGGCTTTCATATAGTACTTCCAAGGGCACAGATAGATTCTCCCTTTTGGGTACAGCTAGACCACTGGAAAGCACTGTCTCCAAACACCCACTAATGGTCATCCTGTGCAAGAAGGCATTTCAGATAACCTTGCTATTTTTGTACTGAAAAGAATTTTAGGGAACACTCACACGATCTATTCTACCAGTCATGTTACGGACATAGTAATTGCCAGCATAAGGATGGCAACAATGGCTAGAATTAAACCACTCCAGTCGCACGCCATATGAACTTGTTCCATGTGCTCTTTTAGAATACTTAAGAGTTGAGAGAGGTTAATTTAGGCTCAGAAAACTGCCACAACATGAAGTAATATTTCCATTATTCCACTATAATAATAATATTCCCATTTCACAGTAACCAAGGTACATAGTGACTGAAAGAGTTGTGCAAGGCCACACAGGAAGTCAGCAAAAGAACTTGCAAGAAAGGCCAATCATTTCTGCTTCCTTGACATACCATAATTTACCTCTTACATAAGAAAGTGTACCTTATTATAGAAATATTCAAGCAGAAATGTGCAAATATGAATCATAACAAAGTAGGTTCAAAATAGTTAGGTATAAGTGCACCTCAAATACTTTTTGGAAGAGACAAAAGCAAAAAAAAACGGAGTCTCTTCCAGGAATATGCTTCAGGTTCATGGTGAGCTTTCTCCTAGAAACAGATGGTAGGGCTGGGATAAGCTGTTCATAGAGACAGAGGAGAGGGCAAGCATCTAAGGAGCAAAAAGCCTGTCTGTCCTGGGATCAGTACCCTTTGCAAGCCCTCACTGGCAGCTTGTTCCAAGAAAGTAAAAAAAAAAAAAAATAATAATGCAGCATGTATTAATTCAAGCAAAAAGCAGCCTATCAGGTGGGTTTTTTTAACCTTCCCACTCCAAACGTTAAATGTATCAACTCTAAATAACATGTATTGCATCACAAGGTCAAATGGGAAGACAGGACTGCGAGGGACATTTTGATTCATCAGACCGAGATCCCTTGTATTACAGGCACGTCATGATATAACCCACTTTGTATCTTAACTACTCCTGTTGAACTGATAAAACAACACAGGCACTTTACCTTCTGCTGTGATAAACCAGGAATTGGGTGCTTCTTCATTCAGTTTTGAATCTGGAGGAAGAGTCAACTTTAATAAAAACTGAATTGTCTGGCCAGGAGCTACAGCTAGTGAAGGAAGTTGAATGTTTGGTGCAGATTTAGGCAGTTTTGGAAGGTTTGTTATTTTATCCTTTTGCACAGGCAGGTTATCTGGAACATCGCATGCTTCTGGACTCAGGATAGGCAACTATCAGTAGAAATCAAACGAAATATTTATTTTTATTTGTACTGAAAGCAAATAGGTTTTCACAATACAATCACAGTTTAAAAGCTGACACGGACTAGGAAAACTAATACATGATAATACGGCTGTTGGAGTAAAACTTTCTGACACAGTGCAACAATACTACAGTGACAAAGAAAAAGGGAAGGTCAAAATTCTTTTTTTAAATTAAAAAGCTAAAACTGATTAATCCAAATAAAAATAATATTTACTATTAAAATCATAAAATTCACAACTACTTTAGAGTATCCACTACTTAGAGTATCCTTTAATTTAAAATTTTAACAGTTGCATTATATTTTTACTTTAAATAAAATTTATAGGTATTTTCTTCAATCTGGTGGTAAACCACATGCTTCAGTAATAAAATCCAAGATTTTAGCCATGCAGATTGCACAGTAAAGTAAAGGATAATTTCCCAGAAAAGCCACCAACATATTATAAAATATGAAAATTTAAACACACGTTAATATCGTGTACTATTAAATGCAAGAAACATACGACAGCTGGACCATTATGTCATATACATATGAAAACATTAAGACATAGTGCCATTGTAAGATGGACAGGAGCACCAATTTGTTTTGCCTTCATGTTTATAAGCAAATACAGCAGTGCTCAATTATGACAGTGGTTTTGATTTGACAACTTGGAAGCCCGCTATGTATCCTGCTTTAAGTCGCTGACCTCCCAAAATCATGTCTTACGGCTTAATTACAGGACTTCGTAAACAACTTCAACTTCCACTTGTTACAGAGGGAGTTGGCAAGTTCTCATGAAATGCTTGTCATACTGAAAAACTGGGCTGTATTTTTTAATAACTCATGTTTCTGTACTGTTCTTTTCTAGAGGATCATCACTTTCTGCTTTCATACAGAAGTTGCCTTTCCAAAGACTAAGGCTTTCAACAACTGTGCTAACAGGCAACGTTTATTTGCCAGATCACCACAAATCATTCTGTGAATATAGCTACTGTACCAAAAAAGTTTATTAGCTATATGATCTTTATACCACTTGCCAAAGTCTGTAATAGTAATTTATATCAAGAAATACCACTATCAGCCTGTTTAATGAGTATTACTTGCCATGGAAAGAATTTTTGTGTCCAAATCCAGTACTTTAATCTGATGATTATTTGTGTCTGCAACATACATCAAGCGGCCATTTTCTTCAACACACAAACCTCCCGGTTCATTAAAAGTTGACTGTGTAAAGCTGGAACCAATAACATCGCTTGCTTCTCCTGTGCCTGCCAGGGTAGCACAGTTCTTCATCTTGGGATCTACAACCTTAATCTAAGATAAAGACAGACACAAAAAAAACTTCTCTGAAAAAGCCCATCAGGATTTACAAGTTCTGCATTATCTTATGCCCCACATTTTCAGAAGCCAGCACTAACTTTGAGTACCTTAGCTACCAAGTATGTATCCTAGAAGCTAAGTTAGCATACTTTAGCAAATGACACCTCTCATCTCCCCTCCCCGCCATTCCCTGCTGGACTTTACTTCTTCCTTTGGTCTTCATTCAGTGTTCTCTTTCGCAATTTCGAAGGCACCTACCCCCCTGGTATAAAAGTATGCTGAATGGCTTGTTTTTCTAATGTTTGTTGCCTTTCTGGAAACATTTGCAAAATGGTGAGAGCATAACAAAACAGGCAGGCTAACTTCTATATCTTTTTTTCTCTAAAAATAGATGAGGTTTTTTTTTCTTAAAGTAATAGCAAAAAAGTTTATAATGTTTTATACAATACCCAAAACAAAATTTCATTTGCCACATAAATTTCAACAAGCATTTAGCGTTATACACTTTATTCTTCAAATTAAAACAAATTACTTTTCTTTTAATGCATTTAATCAATGTACAGTAAAGAGCCTTCTAGACATGAAAGTTTATACAACATCACATAAGAACAATCACGCAAAACCACCTCTCCTATCTCAGAGTTCCATGGAGTCAACCCACAATACTTCTCAAAACTTGGGTGGCTTTTTAAAGGGAGAAGCAAGTCCTCTTGTTCTCCCAGTTTTATCAAACCTGCAGTATTCCTGACTAAGCGCTCCTAGCTCTTTTGCTCTAGTTCAGTATTTTCGGGAAGATACAAGGAAAGGGTCTTTAGTCTGAACTGTAACTTAAACCTTCCCCAAGGGACCATCATAACAACACAGCAGCATGTGACAGCAAAACAATGGTAAAGAGAAGGACCCATAAGGGAAGGAAGGAAAGAAAAAGAACCCACAAAGGAACTCACATCATTTGTTTCCTCAGCTTAACCGAACCAAGCACAACCTTTGTATGTTCCTAAAATAATCCTTCGTAGTAGTAAAAATTGCAAAGCCTGTATATAACAAGCTACTATATGCTTACCTTATGATTATAGGAATCTGCCACATAGAGTAGTTTTCTTTTCTTGTCCCATGTTACTCCTAAGGGATGCTGCAGCTTTGCATTTATGCCCGCTCCATCTACATCACCAAAGGCAAACAAATTCTGCAAAAGTATTTTTTTTAATTAATATATTTGATTATTCAATGTTGACAGGAATTTAAATGATTGTAACTAAATGGAAATTCACTGGCTTAAAAAAAAAAAAAAGACAGACAAATTCAAAAAAAGGATACTGAAAACTGGGAAGTGTGGATGCTAACCATGGAAATGGAAACTCTCACATTTACGTTATCAATATGAATCCAGATGGCTTTAATGACCACACAATGCTGAATCAAGCTGGCTATTTTAAAAATAAGTGAAGTAATTTGTTATCTGAGGAGCAACAATTTGCACTACAACCTGCGTGTCACAACCGGCATACATTTGCATTCCAAGCAGTGAAGTTAAGAAATTGATGGCCACGGAAACTGATTTACCCTCTCACCCCAAAAGTGGTTCCTCCAGGTCAGGCTTGAGGAATATTAGTAGGGCAGTGTGGGGAAGTTTGAAGTGATTACCAGTGGATCTCTCTCTCCTCCTACAAGGTGCTTCACTGCTCCATCTTTCAGAGAGATGGTTCGCACAGTGCTGCTCTCGCTATCCGCTACAAAAAGGCAGTTCCATGGTTCCTCAGAAGCCAGAGAGAGACCTGAAGGCTGTGCAAAGCCTGCCTTATGCGGGTATGCATTGTTTCTGTTCTCTTCATTTCCACTCCCAGCGAATCGAAGGCAGACTCCTTTCTTTAAATCACTAAAGGAAAACAGTACCCAAGTTCAAGAATAAGTTTGAAATACTTCAGACATTATACATAAACAGAAGCTACAGGACAAGCACTTGTGAGTTACAAAACCAACTGTACTGCAGCACAAGGAATTATTCAATGCCTTTGTGCTAACTTTTATTTCACCTCAGTTTATCATTCATCACTAGATAATTCAGCAAATGCAATGAAAAGTAATATTCAATTATACAAATGTACCCTACCAAGTCATAGTTTTATAGCGAAAGTAGCCTATTTCATTTCATCTAACGGTGTGGGAAAAAGCAGGCAGACTTTAAAGGACACACGCCTTTTAAGTCTGAACAGAAGCAGCAAACTTAAAGCTAAGTACAGCTTGAGAAAAATTATTTTTAGTGTAATTTGATTATCTCTCTCTTCGGGGTATGAATGCTGTTTATCAAGACAAACAGCAATTTCATATGTCTCTTATTACAGCTGCTTACCTTCCCTTTGGTAGTTTTCCACCTTCCAACATCAGTGCCCATACCTGATGAGTGCCTGCCATTGCTATCCATAAAACATCATCTTCCTGGGTCCCTGAAACTTTTAAAAATGGATGTATAAAAACAGATGAAAAAAACCAATCTTGGGGAACGTTTTATAAAACAAAGAAATCAACAAACCAACCCTGCCATCCCCCCTACTCCAGCTCACCTTCTGCCACGGGGTAAAAAAAAAAAAAAAGCCAAACCAAAAACCAGAGAAACAGGAGAGAGAGAATGCCTTTCATCTACCAAGAACTCTGCTATTTTTCTTCTGTACTCTTCCAAGGATATGAAAATTGTGTTTTTAATATCCCTACCTAGTAAAGGCAATACTTCAAATGGGATTTGCTCTTTGCAACACTTCGTATTGGGCCCATGTTTCACCTGTTATTTTTGGATTCATACTGGCCAACAAATACGTACATCTCTTTGCTAAGCATTTTTTTTTTGGGGGGGGTGGTGGTGGTGTTTTTTTACTAAGCTAGTGACAAAATTAGATATTCCAAAAAACTACTGGCAATTGTGTATAGGTTTTGAGAGAAATAATAATGGCAGTACCTCTGTTACATTATGTACACGGTACATAATGTTTTTAAGATAAGGGTAACTGATGCTTGGGTGTCATGTAGATTTACGCTCTGGAGAGCAACAACTGCTGTTTATTCAAAGATTAGATGTGATGTGGGCAGTTACTAATTTCCCCCTGCACTAACCATCCAGTTTCCAAGTTGTACTCCCTATGTACATGTACGTGTGGTATCACAAATGTGTAATCTCAAAGTATAACACTGCTATTAACCAATCCAAATCTATAAAATTACACAAAGCTTGCCCAGATAATACTTCACAAAGTGATACAAATGGAAAGGGAAAAACATATAAGTGCCCTATAGCTTTAAACATACCACATTACAGCATAAGAAAGAACTCATGAAGACAAGCAGTGAAAGACAATTAAAAAAAAAAAACCCAAAACCAAAAGCAATTTACTTATCTTAGCCTTTTCTGAAAAACTTAAGGAACAGAAAGTTGACACTTGAAAACTACATTAAAATAAGGACACTATTATCTTTCTAACGCTGTACTAGTCTATACATATTGTATACAACTGTCCCATCTAGTCAGAGACAACGTTAAAATGTTTTTCTAAATGAACATATCAGGTATTGGAATAACTATTAGCCAGTCAGCAGAAAAATACCTTCAAATTGCTCACAGAAACTTTTTATTTGCATGAACCTATGCATTCGCAAAACACTAACATCTCATAGTTGTTTCTTCAAACAATCCAATGGATATCTTCCCCCCCCCCCCCCTTTTAGTTTCAAAATAAAAGCAATTCTATACAAAATACTTGCAAGTATTTTAAATCTGAGAAGTTAGTCCAAATCAATCTTCCTAAAATGAAGTTACCACTATTCCCCCAACTGAGATGCTGCTGTTGTTCTTCTAATCCTAAACCTTTCTTACATTACACACTGCAAGTGGGGGGGAAAGCATCCTTCTGTTTCCAGAATCAATTTCCTCATACTGTGAGCGCTCTTCAGAGTATTACTGGTATGATTTTAATGCAGTTTATTTTCAGCCTTTTCTGTTCTTGGATCAAGGCACAAGTTTCCAAGACTGCAATCAAAGGAACTCTGCTGACTCTCTCCTGCACCTCCGTGTGGCTCCATGTTTTGATGCAAACTAGAGCTCCAAGAGTAAAAGTGAAACTTCCAGAGCACCTAAAAGCTTTTTGCTGAGAAGGAAGGCTTGCAAAATGAGTCGGAAAACACATGTTTTATGAGTCACTAGAGATGTTCCCGAAGTACTGGCAATGCCAAAACCACCCCAATAAAAAACAACAACAACAACAAAAACCCCCTACAGAATCACCTTTGATTAGAGCTTGCTTCTAAGAGATTTAAATTGAGAAAATTGCCTATGAATTCACTTCACTACTTCCTATATAGCATATTTGCAACTTGAGGACTTTATGTTTCCCTGATGCATATCTTGCACTTTTCAGATGCTACTATTCTGAGTACCCCAGAATGAACAATGCTAAAATCACTGGTCAATTCAGATTATCTTGCTATGCTGTGCAGTTCATTCTGAGGGATCTCAAAAAGTGCTTTGTTAATTATTTAATATTCACTTCATTCACCAATGAAATTAAGGAGTAAGGCTAAAACTGAGCACTTTAGAAAAATCTATTCCATTCTTCATCTATCCAATGCTCTAATTCCACCCACTGAAAACTCCCTTGTGACAGTTATACCTTGAAAAATTGAAAAGGTTCTTACTCTAATTCTGCACACTGAAAGGCTTATCAAATATGCAACACAGGGAAAAAAGTATCAATATTAATTTCAAATTTTACTGAATATGTAAGGTCAATAGAGAGAAGAGCCTTTCTTCAACTAGAGAACAAGGCAGGAAAAATAAATAAGAGCTCTATAACCATCATAAATGGATGGCAATTAGAACAAAGAGAATGGATGCATGCATGGAAACAGCACAAGCATACTGAATTGTGGAAAACATGTCAGAACTTTAATAAAAAAATTTATACAAAACCAGAAAAGTAAAAACAATGTCTATAGTTGCACAGCTAAGGTATTTTATCACACAGTGGTCCTGAAACTACCAAGTTTAATGCTTTATGTTCTGAAACAAAAGACAGAAAAAGCTCTTCATTGAGGTAAAACAGTTTGAGGACATGTCACCATTGTCATCCTTGTACTGTTCTCACAGGAGAATGGGGCCAGGGAGAACCAGCATGGTAAAATTATGGTAATGCCATCATTATCATAACTCCTTATCATCCTTGAATGGAAATAATTTATTTTTAAAGAATTTATTATAAAACAACATAAAAGAACAAAGCAATTCTTTTACATTTATTCAATTAAGCACCACATTCCAACCTATCTTGAGCTGTTTTAAAAATCCAGTGTAGTTTCTCCTTATTAGGGTATGTGCTGTCTTATCTTTAGTGCTGCCTGTATCAAAGCGAAGTATGGCTTGCAAATGTGATATACTTATGTTATAAAGATTCACTAATAATGAAGTAGAGCTCTGAATGCACTGGCATTCCATATTATACGATACTTCCATTACTATACGATGATTCAGTTCCTGAATCTGCCTCTGCTATGTATCTGCGTTTTAAGAATGCACAGTCCTGTTTGTACACATACAGAACTTTAAACAGTTCAGTAATACTGCTGACCATTAACTGTGAGGCAGCCTGAACGCACTGAAAAGACTTTATTCCGTACCAGTCAAAAGCAGTATCTGTTTGAAGAGATTCCATTCCAGGACTACCCACACTTCCAGCTTCCCTGTCTGGGGACTGCATGCTTACTTCCAGTCTGGGAATTAAAAGCCTGGGAATCAAAGTTACATTTTGTGGCTGGCACCACTAACATTTTCTAAATAGATTGAAGTTTGAAAATATTATTCTTGTCTACTAATTTTATCTTTAAAAAAAAAACAGGGAAGAAGTCTGTTGGTACACTCATCCTCTGCAAAAACACGAGAGGCAAAAAGGGCTATACAACACGCCCTCTCGTGAGAGATAGGCATGCTGCCTATGTGCACACATGAACGCAAGTCTCGTCTTCACTTAAATCAGTGGAAGTTTAGCAAATTAAATCCAAATTTGACTGACAGAACAACTAGAGAATCGTTGTTCTTCAGTGAGACAGAGATAGCAAAGCCCCAAAGGAATGCTTTAGCACCGTAAGTCTGGACTGTTACAAGTACACATAATCCTTTTCAGAGGAGTAAAAATTAATTTTCTTCTTTTTTTTCCTGTGCTACCTGGCACTCTTTCACATAGTGTTGCATCATGCAAACAGCATAACCCTTTATGAAACAAAATGCTTCTGGAATTTTCCTCCTTAGTTGACATACCTGCCCTCTCATCAAAGGCAATCTTTGGACATAGATACCAAGGGGATGTCATACCATAGGAGATAATAGTGACCTAAAAATGATGACTATAATGAAATACTTTCTCTTTTTTTTCCCAAGTTTTCTAACTCAGGCCTTCTGACTGTAATGGCAGTAAATACTTCAAAAAAAATCCAAAGTAGAAGTGATAGCATTTGTCAACATGAAAGAACTAATTTAGATTATTTAGTGTTGGGACACATCACTATAACTACAGAAAAAGCTAAGTCTAGTTATGCTTTTTATTCATTCCTATTTAAGCATAGCAAATGCATATACTTGAGGGTACTTCAGCACCGCAGTCTCCCCTGACCCCCAACACCCACATTCCATATTCGAAAGCACTTACAGCATCAAATGAGAACAGTTAAAAACTGTGTCTCATTCTGACCCCAGCATGTCTGACAAAGACTCTGTAAGATTTGTCAGAGATGTTTATTTTCAGCAGCTCTGCATCTGGAATTTTGCATTAAAAACAGTACCTGATACCTGAACTAGTATTTAGAAATCCGATTTGTAGTTTTAACTTCATCATGAGCATACATTTAATTCACAGAACAAGACTACAGACTGTGGAACAAAGAGAATGAGAAATCATCATTCCAGGTACAAATATAATAATTTTTTATAGAGGGCATTTCAAGTTACAGCCTACAGAATGTTACTAAATTTGACACCTGTTAACTCTGCTAATCCAAATGCTTCTTTTTACTGCAGAAAGTCATCATCATCATCATCATCCATTTTGTTAAGATGTAGAGAAGTCCAATTTACTAGAAAATTAGTCTGTCAAACTGAATTGTGTGGGATTACTGTTGGATATTCAGTCACAACTCCCATCACACCCTTATGTTAAGACTTTAGTCTTTGTATGTTTCTTTCAAAGGCATGTTTATACTAAAATACTAATGTAAATATCTAATTTCTTGACCTGTTTCTATAGTGAATATGTGAAATATTAGTAAGCTTTGTTGCTATTATTATTCAGCAATACCATAAACTCCTTAATCTCTTAGTTTTGGCTTGGAATACAGAATCAGAGCATTCAGTCAACAGTTTAACTGGGTTCCTGTAGAGATAAAGTCTGTTGGGCTGATCGCACAAAAAGCTACTGTT